ACGGGCCATAATAATCATATACAGTGTATATTGACAAAATAAAAAAAAATAAATAAATAAAGTACACCCTGAGAGGAGGGAATAGGAGAAGTGCAAGAAAACAAAGAGAGCAACGAGTACACGCGAGTGTGTACAGACACACACATGAACCTGGGAGTTCTTGACATGTCTAATAGCTCTTCTCACACAAAATCATAACCTCTCATGACAGCAGCCGCTCGTACTAAGAGCAGCATTAGAGAGCTTGGAGGACTTACAGGGACCAAGTTCAACCTGCTTGTGGTATCAATGAAAAGACTGAGGTCCATAACAGATAACCTGCTGAGGGTACACAGCTAGGAGAGGGCAGAACTAAGCCTGCGGCCCTGTTTCCTGCTTCCCATGGTCTTTCCTCTGATCTGGTATCCTGCCCTGTGGACATCAGTTTACTCTATCTTTGGAAGAGGCATAACCTGGACCAGCTTTCCAAGTGTGCCCCAAGGAGTGCTGAGTTGTGAGAGCCCCAGGAACCCTCTCCCTCAAAGGAACGCCTCTGTTTTAATCTATGCTTGTATCTATTGAGGGCCCACTTAAAATTATTAAGGGAAAAATCTATTAGTAAAAAGGGTTTGAAGATCATCAGTCTGAAGATAAATACATTAGATAGTGTTGATGGTTGCACAACCTTGGGAATATACTGAAAGCACTGAATTGTATGTTTTAAAATGGTGAATTTTATTTTTTAAAAAGGATTTTATTATATATTTATCTAAATTATAATACGTAAATTATATAATACTTAATATATAATATTTACAAACTATAAGACTTTTAGAAGAAAACACAGGGGAAATGCTCCAGGAGGTAGGACTAGGCAAAGATTTTATGAATAAGATCTTGAAAGTACAGGCAACGAAAGCAAAAATAAACGAATGAGATTTTATCAAACTAAAAAGCTTCGGCACAGCAAAGGAATCAACAGAGCAAAGAGACAATCTGCAGAACGGGAGAAAATATTTGTAAACTATACATCCGACAAGGGACTAATATCCAGAAAATACAAGAAACTCAAACAACTCAATAACAACAACAAAAAAATCCAATCAAAAAATGGGCAAAGGAATTGAATAGACATTTCTCAAATGAAGACATACAAATGGCCAACAGGTACATGTAAAAATGCTCAACATCACTAATCATCAGGGAAATGCAAACCAAAATCACATTAAGATATCATCTCTCCCCAGTTAGATTGACTATTATCAAAAAGACAGAAAATAACAAATGCTGCTGAGGATGTAGAGAAAGAACCAACCCTTCTACACTGTTGCTAGGACTGTAAATTAGTACAGGCATTATGGAAAACAGTACAGAGGCTTCTCAAACAACTACACATAGAACTACCACCCAATCCAGCAATCCCACTGCAGGGTATATACCCAAAGGAATGGAAATCATCATGCCGAAGGGACACCTGCCCTCCCATGTTCACTGCAGCTCTACTCACAATAGCCAAGATATGGAACCAACTAAATGTCCATCCACAGATGATTGGATAACGAATTTTATTTTTAAAAAAGCATTTTATTATATATTTATAGAAATTATAATATACAAATTATATGTTTATTGACATGTTTATTATTTTAATGAAAAAACTAGACACCCCTTTGTTCACACAAAGGGGGACACTAAGACAAGCAGTGTGTTGTCCTCAGGGTCAGAAACCACATAGAAACCTAGAGGTGCCCCACTCCCAGTCCCCCCAGATACTGGCTGGGAGACCCCGAGCCCCCTGGGCTGCTCCTTACCGAGTTGGTGCCGAGGATCTGTAGGTTGGGCTTCTCCGACTCCAGCAGCTTGGCCACCATCTTGAGGAAGCTCTCCACGAAGAGGTTGATGCTCTGGCAGTGGCAGGCCATGAGCAGCTGGTCCAGGGCCTCCATGGCAATGCACACGTACCTGGGGAAAGCAGCACCCTGTGTCACAGACCTTGTGCCCCTCTCACCCCACTGCCTGGCTGGGGCAAGCACGGTGTCAGCGTGGTGACCCCCCAGGCAGCATCCGAGTGATGACTCCTCCACACACTGCCACTGTCTGGGTGGCAGTTCCCACAAGTGCCCACTCCAGCCCCAACCTGAGAATCAGGATGAATTACCACTGGAAGGGGGCCTTCTCCAGCCCTCATTTCACTGAACAGGAGGACAGAAGAGATACCATTTCATGAGTAAATACAGAGAGGATTGACTGCCGGAAGAGCAAATTCTGAACCAAAACCCTTTGAGACAGGAGAATTACTTGATCCAAGTCAAGAGGCACACCCTGAAGAAAGAAAGGCTCTGTCCTAGTTAGTGTGGGGGGTGTCAGCACCGAGAGGGCAGTCCTTCAACATAGAAGCCAAGAGGCTGGTGGATGAGAGAAATACACACGTATCTCCTCTAAAGGGGAAAAAACCCTATAAAGACATCATGCATGATGTCCCATGAGGTTTCCAAAGAAGGGGAAAGATGGTTCTAGTGGGGAGGAAGTCCAGAAGTTTATGAAGAATCTGAGATGGACCTGAGGACCAGCTAACTGCAAGAATTAAGGAATGTAAAATTTGCAAGTTTTGTATTTGAAAACCTCAGAAGTTCTACGATGAAGTACTGTGCAAACAATACGATTGACAGAATTACTACGTTTGCGAGACATATAACCCACCTAGGGAACAAGATGGACAGGACAGAAGCCTAATAAATTTTTTTTCTCCTTATGAAGAATGTGCTCCATGTGAACTCTAGATCCCTAAACTATTTAAACAATTCCTCTCAAGTCTAAAATCTGAATGAACACCTTCAGAAACTAGGGATATACAACATCCAATGGTGAATAGCTTACTAGTTAAGTCAGCCTCTGTTTGCTTTTTGACAAGTAAATAAAAACTTCATTATTTTTCAAGCTAAGCCCTAATAACTTCTATCCTGTATTCGCAATTCTACTCTCAGGAGCAGCAAAAAAGAAAACCACACCTCCTCCTGCCTGCCGGCCCTTCAACCACTTAAAAATGACAATCTCTTTCATTATTCCTGCTCTTTTCTTCTCTGTGCTATGTCCAATCCCTCCCAAACCAGCCTTCACAGGACAACCGCAAATTATCCCAGTTGTTGTCTTCCTTGATGCTTCTCTTAAATCCCAAGAAAAATACCAAGAATCAAATTCCTACTGAGAAGTAGACATGCATCTCTAAGTCAAACTCAACATTTGTTCCGTGATAGTGACATAACTCACGTCTGTTTGGCTAAGGTATACAACATGAAAGATACATCCCCCACTTCCAAAGCATTTGCATTCTAAAGAAAACAGGGTAGCCATTCCTAGAAAAAATGTTTTTTAAAAAAACTTGTAATGAATAAGCTGCTGTAAATCTGTCAGAAATTATTTCGGTTAAAATCTTTGCAATTTTCTTTAAGGACTTAGGTTTCTAGGGCAGAATTCCAGGTGTCTCCCCTAAAATCTGTCCCCCTTTCCCTAGTAATTTGGAACTTTTAGCTGTGCATGTGGCTGCTCACTAGGGACGACATTTCCCAGTCTCTCTTGCTGCTAGGAGAGGCCACATGACTAAAATGTTGCCATTAAAATAAGGGGAAGTGATGTGAACAACATCAGCACCTCTTGCCTGTGAGACGGGACTGCCCTCATGTCCTCTCTTTTTTTCTTCCTGCCCCTGGGAAGTAGCAGCAACAATTGCAGACCTAGAGATGAAAGGCATGAGCTGAAGATCCCTGAATGACCTCATGGAGCAGAGCCACTGGCCCACTCAAGACTGTTTTCAGGCATGAGAAAAAAACACTTCTATACTGCCAGAGCCACCGTCTTTTTGAATCTTTTTGTACCCTAAATAGCATGGGCACCTAATAATCAAATTAAAGAGCGCTTTAGAAACCTGATGGTGCAAATAGAGCTGAATCCTGAGTGATCCCAAGCAAGTCAAGTGACTGACCTCATAGGAAAGAGAAGTAAGATTGGAAATGTTTTGTGTTCTGCTAGAGGTGAGATCATTGCAAGACTTCACAGACTCAGCGTTTGGGCCTATGTATCCATCATAGGGTGGTGATCCTTTTGTTGTCAAGTCATACTATGGGGAACAAAAAAGTACTCCCTGAGACAAAGAAAATACATGGGAGGTAAAGTAAGCAGAGAACTCCAAAACTTACCTGGGGTGGCCAAGGAATCAGGTTAATGTTAAGTCAAAAGCACATAGCAAAAAGCCTCTCTTACAAGATTGCAGGAAAGCTGTCACCATGGGCTTTTAAAATATTAAAGTTGCCTGAATCCCTAAAGTCAGGTTCACAAAAAGATTTGTTCTTTATGTCTTGATTCAAATTATATCTATCTTTGAATGTTAGACAGATATAAAAAAAATTCTTGATTAGTCTTCATCTTTTTTTTTTTTAAACAAAGTTTGGGTAAATAAAAAGAAAGCACAAGAAGCATGACTAAATGACAATTTTTGGAGCTATCCCAAGGCCACAACACAGGCTCCATAATACTTCTTGGGGCAACTGCCCAATTTCAGATATTGTACGGTCCAACTACCTCAGACATGAGCCAGCTTTGCAAATCCAAACATATAAAGTAACAGCAGTCATGATGTCTTCCAAATTTTTTTTAAGACATCGAATACCCTTTTTTAGGTACCCTTGAGGTAACATCTATGGTAAGCAACCATAAAAAAATAGCAAAAAAAGAACAGCTTGTATATTCTGAAATTTTCCTTTTAATAAATGTTTATTTCTTTTATCTACATGAGCCAAGTTAATTATTAATTATTTAATAGTATTAAATAAAATAAAAATAATATTAAATATTATTAAATAGTCATCTCCAGGTGCATTCATAAATGGATCATGCCATGCTATTCTCTACAGTATCTTTTAGGTATGAAAGCAGCACTGGGTCTTGAGCTTCTTTGGTGAATGGGAGCCCCGGGCTCCCTTCCTCCCAGCTACTCCCGGCTCTCTACAGCCCTACCACTTGGAGGCTGTCACAACCACAGTCCAGGAAACATCCATGCCTTGCATAAACCAGCATGTTTCATGTCTACTTTACAGGCTAGTGAAGCAGGCTGAATCCTGCAGGGTTGGAGAAGTGGACAGGCTTTCCCTGAAGAGAAACCTGGACACATTCAGGCAGCCACCCATGGCGGATAGGACATGAGGGTAGGCAGAGTGGAATTTTCTTAGGAATCATGCTACTGTATGAAGGGATCAGCTGGCATTTCCCCATCATTTTACAATTAAAATGAGGTAAAGGAAGGGGTGGGGTGGGGTTAGGCAAGAGAAGAAACTATACTGTTTATTCCTCTTCCTGCAAAAAATTCCAGAAAATCCTGATAAGGAAAAACCATCTTTTGCTAGGGAAAAAAACAAAAAAACAAACAAAAAAAAGCTACTGACCAGGAGTAGAAATGTTGGTGGAAAGTGAAAATTATAGTAGAAGTAAAACTGAAAAGTTGAGAAGTAGAAAAAGTATAAGGCCCCATCCTTTGTTCCCCATCTGATCCCAATACTAAGGATGGAATGATTGTAATCATGAACCGTGACTTTCCAAAGTATCCTAGAAAATTAGAAGTCAATGGGTCCTTGAAAGCCCCTAGTCCAAAGCTCTTCATGTTTGTCCTGTTTTATCATAACCTCCCCAAGTACGTCTTTTTAGGCCTATACTCTCGAAAGGAATAGAGCATGGGATTCTCAGGGTGATGTCCACTCGACAGGGTTCAGGTCAGAAGGTTACTATCATCAGAGATCTGATCTGGGGTTGGTCTCCTGGAAGGGCTCCAAAGTAGTAACAGGTCTGGGAATCTGACCTGGCCTAACTTGGGTACTTGGAGCAGGATGGGGGAGGAAGGAGCTGGCCCACAGGTGAAGGCAAGAGCAAATGACAGACCCAGCAGCAGCTGACAACCAAGGGTCCCAGATGCACTCCAAGGGCTTCCCAGCAGATGAGGAGGGCAGACCCAGGGGATCCGAGATGGACTGGGGCTCACGGGCAGCAACGGAGGCCAGGAGAGGACACCTGGCAGATCATAACAAGAGGAACTGAATGAAGGTCAGCAACCAAGACAGAGGTGAGGTGTAACAGCTGAGCAAAATACACAGAGGGCTTGGTGCCTGTATTGAGTCCCAGGATAGGAGGCTGCTTCTGCTTGAACATCTCATGCTCAGTCAGAAGTGCCCCTAGGAACCAGCAGAGGTGCTGAGCCTCCAGGAAAGGAGGAGCAGGATGCACAGTCTGGGATCAGACAGTTGGAGAGGAAAGGCAGATCCAGGATCAGGGGTTAAAATCAGCAGGCAGGAAGAGGGGGGCATACTAGTAGGGCCAGTCATTGCCCAAGAATCACTTAAAGAGCAGTGGCCTTGACAAAGAACCTCTTATTCTGGGCAGTTTGAATATATTTGGTCAGCCCATTCCTGGAAAGAACCTTCTGGGTTTTAGAAGCCCAGAAGCAGGTTGACCTCGGCTAAGGAGGACCTCCTCATCCGAGGAGTTTGTAATATCTCTCTCTGAAGGGTCAGCCCATCCTCCAACCAGGTTCAGGGTCCTTCTGGGGGATGTGTATCTCTTAGGGGCCCCCCTGAGGCAGCTCCGGGGCCAGTGTCCTCTACCGTCTTTGGCATGGGCGTCTCCATCCTCCAGGGCTCCGTCCTGGGCTGGGTAGGAGATCCAGCACTGGGGATGCTGACAGTGTCTATCATGGCATTCTGCACGCTGTTAACGTTCAGTGGGCATTGTCGGCTGAGCCCATCTCAGCCAGCGCCCCCTTACCTCCCCTGCTCTCCCATTTCTAAGGGTGTCCTAGCAGTTGTGCAGAACTGGAGAGGAAACACACAAAGAGGAAGGAGGAGATCATGAGGGATGCTCACTTTTTGCTGCCCTGCATATTCACTGCCAGGTCATATTCCATGCCAAGGAGCGATACCTTGAGATCCACATCTTATCCTCTCTCTGCCCACATTTGGCCACCCCTCCCCCATGGTAAATGCCTGTGACCCAGAGTCCACACACAACTGGACTGGGTGACCATGCAGGGAGGCAGAGGGGCAGAAAGAGGGTGGTTGAATCACTGGGCCTAACAGCCAGGGTTCCTGTCCCTATGGTCACACCATAGACACAGACACCTGCACCATGGCAGGGAGCACAGCCCTGCACACTGTCTGCATGTGAATACTTTGCTCTTCCAACGCTGCCATCAGTGATGAGGAAGACTGATGATGCAGGTGGCTTTGGGTAAGGAAAGACAGGGAGGGTGAGGAGAGAGAATGAGAGGTCAGATCTAATAGACTGCTCCTCCCCAAATGTTTATGATGTAAGCCCTCAGTGAGGCCTTCAGGCTTTAAATGTTTAGATGCTGCAATGGCTATTTTTAACAGAATGATACCAATTTTGAATTGCAGTACTAAGGGCAGCGGAATGACTCTAAGTGGCTCTGCTGGCTACAAGACATATTTATTGAGAGAACCATTACTGCAGAGAGGGCAGGCAAAATTAGTATAAAATGCTTAATGTTATAGCTAGCATATTAGTTTTAGGTTCGGCCTAGCATAAAGTCACTTTTACTTGTTTGTGTGTACTTCACAATATGTCAAGGCCCTTTATATAATCAGCATGCACAGCATATTCATGCCCTTTTTACTGAGCATGAACCTAATTTTATTGTCATAAAAACGTATTGGTTTGGGTCCTGCTTTTACACCAGCAGTAACTTGACCGAAGATTTGCTGGTGGGTCCTGGGCTTTCTGGACCTCTGCACCCTGCCAGCGCCATACAAATCTTCTTGCTCTAGTTCAAGGCCTGCTCCATCTTCCCCACCAGGAAGAAGGAACCTTAGAGGGTAGGGGGCTGATGGCCAGTGGGGGGCAAGCTCATGGGGGGTCAAGGTGAGAGGGCACCACAAAGGCCCAGAGAGCCAGGGGGATCATCAGCCAGTCCATCTGGAGTGGGTCCGCAGTAGGCATGGAGGCTGCGATGGCCTTGGCTGGAGTAGGGACAAGTTGTGGAAGATCCCAGCAGTCAAGCTAAGGAGCATGGGCTTTATTCTAAAGGAACCAGGCAATTATAGCTTCAGGTCTATATGCTGAAGGTCATATCCAGCAGTATTAACCTGGAAGGACTAGAACAGGAAAGATGGGAAGCAGGGAGACAATTCTCAAGGTTACCTCCATGATCTGAACTAAAAGAGAATAGGAGTCTGAACCAGGTGAAAAGTAGGAGCAGAGGAAATAAGGAGACGGATATAAAAGACTGTGGAAAATGGAACCAAGAGGACTCAGGAACAGCTGCCCTAAAGCTCCCCAACCGTCAGCGCCATTAGCAATGCCACCAGGGATGTCTTAGAGTCCTCTCAACCCTGAGCCTCTCTGAATTGTGGCGTGATGGCAGCATAGCAAACACAGTGTGCCCGGTTCTATCCACTGTGGAAGTAACATATTCAACAGAGAATATGTAAGAAACACACAGAGAAGGTGAATAAATGTCAAAACAAAACGAAATGAAAAAAAAAAAAATCACACTGCTCACAAAATGAATACTCTTAAACTGTATATTTGTCTTTACTATATTTTCTAGCCATTGAGATTTTTTACTGTTGTTTATCTTTTAAGTTGACTGTAAATACTGAATACATCATTATGCATTCTGTCTTTCATTTACTTTAGGCATTTTCCATACTATATGGAAAGCATCTTTATAAACATTACTTTTATTGACTAGATATCATTTCATCAAGTGGTATACAAAGGTACTTCAAAAAGTTCACATAAAAATAGAATTCAAAGGTAATATGAATCTTTCCATGAACTTTTTGAAGCACCTTTGTACATCATAATTTACAGAACTATTATTCTCTTACTACACATTCAAGTTATTTCCACTTTTTCAGTATTGTAAAAAATACCACAATGAACATCTCTGTGTGTAAAGGTAGATTGTATTTAAGATTAATTCCTTGGGATAGACAAATGGAAATGGAATGAATAGGTCAAGGGGCGCAGGTGTTTTTGAAGCTCTTGACACATATTTCAAAATTACCTTCTACGAAGTTTCAATTTGCACTCCTAGAGTGAAAATTTCTCCCATTTTACCATCTCTTGATTAATACCGGAAATTATATTTACTTTTGTGTTAATGTGATAAGATGGTATTGTAGTATTTCAATCCACACCTTTGATTACAAGTTTGTTGAATATTATCCCATGTTTGTTACAAGTTTTATCTCTTCCTGTAAATTGCCTCAAATCTTTTAGGGTCCCAATTTCCCCAATCCACACCCACCATGTGTTATTAGCTACTAATATATGAGCTATTGAATCCTTTGTCTTATTTTTTTTAAATACTTCTTTTTGTTGTCTGCCTTTTAAATTTTGATTGGTTTCTGGGCTGAGCCCGTGGTGCACTCGGGAGAGTGCGGTGCTGGGAGTGCAGCGGCGCTCCTGCCGCGGGTTCGGATCCTATATAGGGATGGCCGGTACGCTCACTGGCTGAGCACGGTGAGGCCGGTCTCAAAAAAGGACAAAAGAATAAATAAATAAATAAATTTTGATTGGTTTTTGACATCAAAATATTTAAATTTTAAACAGTTAATGTATTGATAGGTGATTTTTTTAAAGATTTCTTCTCTCTTCTAAACATATAAAGTCCTTCCCTCTCAGATTGACAAATGTTTCACTCAAGTGTGTTTTTAGTGGACAAGTTGCCCCAACCTTGCCTTCTCACTAGAATGTAGATGGCTCCTCCTTACTTTGCAAGACAGTAAGATGAATGGAACAGAATAGGTTTGATGAGAATAACACATTCTGGGGTAGGTTAATTTTTCAAGGCCTCAGACTCTGTGTGGGAGGGCTTCTGACAGAGACATGAGGGGTACACAGATGCTAAAAGGGGTGCTCGTAGGAAGCCAACATCCCCTCTTCCCAAATCTTCACAGTAGCATCAAATTTTACTCTGCCTTTGAGGATCACGTGGAACCCACCCCTCAATCCCAGTCCCCATTTCTCAGTCTGTTCGACAATCCAGTCTACTGTCATTTTCTTAAATGGACCCTATGTTTTGCCCTAACAATACAGTATAGTTTCTAGAAATCTCTCTCTCTCCTTCCCATTCTACTTACCCATATCGATGACGACCCACATCACGGATGAGCCTTTCAGAGAGGTAGGCACCAATCCGATCCAGCTTTTCTGGAGCTGAGAGGGCGTAGAAGGTCAGCTTCTCCATGTTTGTCTTCACCAAGCCATCCTGCAAAAGACGACAGTTCATGCTCGCCATGCTCATACCACGGCCAGCCGAGTTCAAGCCCAGAGCTGAACAGTAGGTCAATTTAATTTGCATTTACAGAGGGCCTATTATGCATGTGCTGGGCAATGTGCAGGACCCAAGGACACACAGATGATTAAAACATAGTTCCTGCCCTCCAGGGACTCACATCCAGCCCAAAGTGTGCTACCTATAAATAAGAATAGTAAGTGATATAAAATGTAAGAGGGGACTTCAAAAAGTTTGTGGAAAAATAGAATTGAAAGATGATATGAACCTTTCCATGAGGTTTTTGAAGATCTCTCATATGTGTACATGTGTTGTATGTGTATATATACATGGATGTGTACCTGGATGTATGGGTTAGTGTACACATGCATACATGTGTGCATGTATGAGCGAATGACAAGGCTTCATTAAAAATGACTCAACTTTTAATATCCTACACCAAGATATGAACAGGAAGAAGGCAGCTGTGCAGCTCTTAGTGAATTCTCCAGAGGACGCTGGAAATGTGATCCTCCACTGCCCATCAAGAAGAGGCCATCGATTCCCAGAGAGCAAGTTGAGTACATCATATCCCGACATTTCTCAGACCACAACCCGTAAAGCAGCCTGACATGTGGAGCAGTAGAGCGGTGGCCTGGAAGCCAAGAAGCTAGGCCACCTCTGCGTGCACACCCAGACACCTGGCAGATACCAGAGGGACAGGAGAGAGATGCGGGCTCCAGGGCCAAAACCCAGGACAGGGGAATGCTCACACTGAAGAGCCGGCAAATGTGACCATCAAGAGGGTCAGCAGCTCAAGGAACTATCACCCGTAGGGGCCTTAGCGAGAAAGATGTCTCAGCTCTACGGCAATGGCCAAGAGCATGCCAATACCAACTTCCAACTCCCTTCTACAGATCCTGACTTCACAGAGACCGAAAGGTCCTCATCCTGCTGTGTGGGGACAGCAGCCACTCACCACTGCCCGAGGCTGCGGCCAAGGGTTCAGCTTGTCTGGGAAGGCCTAGTGGCCAGGGGCTCTGAGAATCTGCTGTCCCCACGCAGCAGCCTTTAGAGGCCCTGCCTGGACGGTGCAAGTCATGGTGCCTGCTGGAGATGTGACCCACCTCAGGATCCTCAGGGAAGATGTTGTCCACCAGCCTTTTGTACCTGGGGCGTAGGGCCCCACAGCAGCCACACACACCTGCAGCAGGAACAAGAAAAACCTGTGAGCAAAGCCTGTGGTCGGGCTGAGGAGACCCGGGAACCAGGGCCAGGGCCAGCGCAGTGTGGGAGGAAACAAGCCAGGCTGGAACGTGTCCTTCCCTCAAAGGGCTGGGTCCCTGTCCTGCCCCGGGGCCGGCGTCTCCCACTGCTCCCTACCCCCCATCCCAAGACAATTGCCATTCTCGCTTTGTGTCTTCTGCCTAGGGATCGGGCGCAGTGACATCTTCAAGGGTGACACCAGCAGATGGGCACCTGCTTGTGAGGTTGGGCCACAGTGGAGCATTTTGAGGGGCAAGGCTTTGTGGGTGGGAGCTTCTCTCAGGGTCAGGTGCTGCCCCCGCACACTCCACTGTCACATGTACACTCACGCGTGTGGCCGGGACGGGACTATAGAACCACCTCCTGCAGCCCAAGAATGTAACTGAGCATCCTGGGAAGACGGATACACCTTTGAGGGGCAGTTTCTCTTCCCTACCTGCCCCGTCATTTGCTCCAACTTCCTTTATTCTCTGCTCCTCCATCTCCATCTCCTTCTACCATCCTCCCCCCTGGGGCCATTTCCATTATAGAATGTTATGTGAAGCTATGATAAATTAACATTGCCATTAATTATTAACATTTGAAAACGCATCTTTAATGCAGTGTGACCGTGGTATTTGCAAGCTGCAGTGTTTTAGAGTCGGGCAGGGCCCTAAGAGCCATCCAGTTCATGGTTCTCAAATGCCAGCCCCCAGTGAGGTTTTCACCAATCTGTGGCAAAATGAAAAAACTAAGAACAACATGGTTTTTATAAAGTTAAATTTCTTCCATAGGGAAGACTACAAAGACTCCCTTCTTTATCTTTTGGTGCTATGAAGCCATGGTGTTAGGAAATCAACAATGACACAAACTTCAGAAAAATTAAAAGTTGACAACTCCAGGTGCCACCATTAGAAGGTGTCAATTAATAAAGGAAATCAAAACATCTGGGAACCATCTTTCTTCTTCAACCTGCTGCCCACGAAGGAAGTTTCCCTCACTGCGTTTTAGGCCAGGGAGGGGCCAGAGAACAGACAGGCAAGGGCCTGAGAAAGTTCACCCCTCCCCCAAAGAAGTGTCCCTTGATCCCCCCAATTAATGGTGAATTCTGTTTGTACAAGTTCTCTACTTGAATGCAAATGTGCCCTGGGAAGATTAAGCCTCTGGGTCATTGAGAAAAGAATGAATTGCTTTAGTGGGAATTACTTTAATCACACAGAGCTTTACACAGGGTGGAGAAAAGCTACTCTCTGGAGTTGTGACTGGCAAGGGTGTGGGGTAGGCAGCCCCAGAAGGAGCAACGAGCAGCAGTTTTGGCTCTCAGGGTGATTTGGGTATTGGGGAATGGGCGTGTCTTTGGAGAAGCCAAGGGGCACCCAGAGAGCAGGGTATGGATAAGTGATGTGGTCCCCCCGCCCCCACCACCATAGGGGTGGCTGTGTGCGCAGGGCAGGCGGGGAGGGCGGCCGATGGAGCCGGCAGGCTGCAAACCCAGCCCTCTAGGCTCAGTCTGGCTGCCCGACCACACTGGCTGGCCTGGCTTCTCCTCATCCCCTCCCTGCCCCTGCCTGGGAGACGGTGTTAGGACTCTGGCTGGTTGGCACTCAGGTTCTTTCTCATGGTGAGACAGCTCCCAAGGGACATGTTCCCCATCTGGGGCCTTAAAGCCCAGGATTGAAACCTGCCCAGTGCAGCTGTCAGGATGCCTCCTGCCAAGGTGCCCAGGTTGGGCACATTCTACGCCCTCCCACCAGTCTCCTTCGTCACTGTCCCTAAAACAGCAACATCAGTCCATTGCATTTTAAGGGAGTGAGGAAATAGAAACATGAAGAAGTCAGGACTAAAAAATCCCAGTGTCACCTCCTTCCTCAAGCCTTTCTGGAAGGCCTATGAAAGAAGGCCTGCAGTGGACTGAGGCCAAGTTCACAGTGGCTAGAACCCAGATCTGTCAAGGAGCAAGCGCAGCACTATCTTGCATACTCACGGTGAAACCTCCGTACAGGGGCACGAACAGGGCTCTCGGGCTGGGGGGCTGTTAGTGCGGCTGGAGAGGCTTCTCAGAGGCGCAAGCCCGGGCATGTCCTACTCAGAGGACACCAACTCTATCTCTTCCCAGATGGACACCAGGCAGCCGGCTGGCCTCCACTCTCTTGTATTCCTGCAGGGGAGCTCCTCAAGCTGCCCTTGCTTCATCCCTCCTTTAGTTCACAGGCCCCACTGGGAAAGGCCCCTCTCAGCACAGAGGCCCCCAGCAGCGAGGAGGCAGGGCCCCCAATGGGAACTGGTCACATGCAAGGCCCCAGGGCATTTCCCCACCAGTGGAGGAGGGGTAAGGAGCCACAGGAACGAGAAATGAGAGCTGGTGCCCCTTGTTG